TAGAAGACAATAAAAGCACAACGTTTTAAGTTCCGAAACAGTTTTAGATCGAATGCATCTGTTGAATAAACTGCTAAATTATTTAAAAAGATCGAGGCTTCACATCAAACACAATAGTTACAGAGAACTTAAAAACTGTGCCGATTTCGAATTCTGGTTGCCACCGTGCCGACAGCAGACGTCTGCCTGTAGATTATTGGAGGCCCCCAAGTGCAGCAGACTTGTCGTCGCGATTTTCGTATGTCGGCAAGCCAATTCTCATAATGTCTTAGCTTCAATAAGCTTTTAGTCATTTAAAAAAAATTATTTCTGCACTTTCATATTTTAAAAACTTTTTTGTTCAATGCGAACTAATATTTTATTCTTCTAAATATGTCTCGCATGACTCTTTTTGCTTGTTCTGCTCGAACTTTAAATATTCATGTCACATTTTTCGCACTGAAAGCTCAATTGATTTATTTGGCTCCTGATGACAACCGATAGTTATGTATTCTGTTTTCTCAGATACGAGTATTATTAATAGATAAAATGAATTATGTGTATATACTATAAAGATATCTGTGCAACAATTGCCCAATCTATTTATTTATTTTCAATGTTTGCATTTTACCGACATATTTTAATACATTTTGTTAAATAAATTTTATTATATTTCCAATGCCCCCTCTCCCCCTATTTTTATTTGGCGACAGCTGCCACAGTTGCTGGGGATTCAGTATAAGTTATAAGTCATATCTTCATATTTGATTTATAGAGCACTGGATGTGACACAAGAACAATAAATTGGCAGCAGTTAAGTGGTGCCATCTAGCATGAGATTACGCACTTAACAAGTTTAATGCGATTCTTATTTTAGTTATTCCCGCCATAGCTATAAACACTACACATATACATACATACATATATATATATACTTGCATTCAATGTTCAACTGAAGCTCTCAGATTATTTCGCTACCCCAACAATATGCAATTTATTTTCTGGTTGTTGTTGTTGTTCTTGGTATTTTTGGACTTGTCGCCCGCTGCATTTTATCGCTGTTATATTTTTGCCGTTTGTGCAATTTTTATCGAGATTCTTTCCATAGATATGCATGTACGTATATATTTATGTGCGTGTGTGTGTGTGTTTGTATGGCTTGCATATTTTATGGCTGCCCCAACTCATTGGATGGCATTGCTGCGTAGCTTGCGAGGATATTGAAACGCAAATCAGTAGCGTGATGCTGCGGCCACAACGTGCCCCTTCAGCAATAAACGGGGGACTGTGGTGAGTTTTATGAGCTTTAAACTTTGAAATTGAATTTCGTGCGCTCAAAAATTTTCGCACACGCTGCGAACTGGGCAGATCGGGGTATCGGCATGTGAATATTGGGAATGTCTAGTCGACAGCGATGCGCATTACGCAAGATGAAATTAAATTAATTGTTTACTTAAGCAACGTTTTTGTTTTTGATGTGATGCCTCAACCTGTTCAATCTATTTTTGGTAATAAAAATGTGGCCGTTTGATATTGTACAGAGTTTCTGGTAGGCAGCATCATCCAAATAGTAGACATCTGACTTTTGTTCAAAACAAGAAGCCAATAAATTAAGGCAACGTTTTTGCAATTATTCAAGCGCAAACCCAACAACAACTTGACTGCTGAAGAAGTTGCAAAAGGTTGATGGAGGAAGAGGAAGAAATGAACAAGGATAATAAGTTGGCCACATGTTTTGGGTCTCCAAAAAGCAGCTTGCAAACAAATGTTATAAAAATTGTTAGATTATCAACGACGTATACGAAAGCGAGCACAATAACAAACATTATTATAGAATCTACCGCACCTACGATACACTTCATAGTATATGTTAACAAGAGTTGTGCAGCAAAGTAAAAGTACCTTTAGAGCTAACCATAAAAATATAAACATTTAATTATAAAACATGCACTTTAATCTTTTCTAAAATCACATTATACATACTATGGGTCGGAAATCATAAGGCGCAGATCAAGTTAAGCTGAGATTCATTCTCCTTTTAACCTTTTATAATGCGTAAATACCCTTTCCAGTGAGGGCATTAAAACGAGAACCAAATCAAAACGAACTGAACTGAGCCCAAGGCTACGGGTGGCATTGAAGCGTGACATATCACAACTGGTGCGCCGCCAGTCAAGCAGCAAGTATTGCGATTGTAGAACAGTGGAACAAGACGATGATGCATACAAGTTCCAAACAAATCTGAAGGGAAATGCTTGACAAATTTTTGAAAACTGTCATTCGACTGACGGCGCACATATAAAATACTGATAAAATACTTTGCCACAAACTTTATCAGCAACCGGCCTGGAGCTAACCAGCAACAAAAACAGAGCAACGAAATAAAATTACATTTTGCACACAATTTTGATTTTCATTAATTTAGTGTAAATAACAAACAAACAAACACACAATACATGCGCGCACAAAGAGAAAAAGTTGCAAGTTCCAAATCAAATAACTTTTGCAACTTTTTGGTCATGGCGCATTTGCCAAACACAAGCACCAGCAAAAAGAGATAGAGAAGAGGAGGAGAGAGAAGAGGAGAGGAACGCCACAAAATTATATAAAAAAAATAAACTTTTCGCGTAACGTGAAACGTTTTTTTGTGCGCCTTTTGTGGCACATTCGGCCAAACAGCTGAGCATTACGTATACGCAGCGTGTTACAGTGCTATATGAACCCCAATGTGAACTTTGCCGCATGTTTTGACAAGCGGCCAACAGTAAGAAAACAACGACAACCGCTGCCCAAATCACAAGCTGCTTTGCAGCCAAGAACAACAATAGAAGCAGCAGCAGAAGCAGCCGAAGCAACAATAACAACAACAACAGCAATAACAAAGGCCACCAAGCAAGCGTAAAATGCGCCAACGTCTTGGCAACTACTTTTTGGCTTTGCTCGAAAGTTTCACTTGGCTTACTGCGGCAGACGTCATAAAATGCGCGTCATCTAAACAATGTTGTTGCTTTTATTGTTGTTGCTCGCTGAAATTTGCATGCATCGGAGCAATCGATGTGGCCATAAAACAATGAACAAGGAAGCGGAAGAGGAAACGCCAAAGCAAAACCAACAGAAGGAACGAAGGAACGGGCTAAATAGTTAGATTGGTACGAATGTGAGGAAGTTATATACCCTTATTCAAGGAAATAATTTGTTTAATACACAATTCTGTTTTCTAAACCGTGCTATAATTCTATTTTCTTTGTATGCAGGATAGCCAGAAGGTGAGAGTGCGTACTGTACCGGACAATTAACGTGCTGCTTACTCTCATTCTATGAGCGAAATAAAATCGCTTTGTGATCGTACATTTAAATTCCAGCATTATCAGAAAATAAATAGTGGTTTAATTTTTCTTGCCCGATAGCTCTGCCTTCTTTAAATATTATTTTTGTCAACAATTGATTAATCATTTTAAATATTCAAATATAAGCTCCTCAACATATTTCTCCTTGAAAAGTAAAACTTCTAAAAATTACATTCCCCATATATCACGATCTCAGTAAAATGTCGATAAAAAGATATTATATTTCCCCATTTGAGGCACAACAGATGCAAAACAAAGATATTGCCATTCAAGGCTAACGCTTGAATAATTGTACACAAATTTTTGAGTGAATTTCTCAATTCTCTTTCAAAACTTTAAAATAGCTTTCCAAATATAATATACCCTTTCACTCAAAGTGTTGGGTGTAGCTATAAGTAAGTTTCGCGGAAATCGCGTGGGGAAAACTTTATATTTCTTGCTATTGTTGTTGCACTGCTAAGTTCTGCAGCTCATTTGCCAGCTCACAAATGCAGCAATCAAAACTGCAAGATATTAATGTCAAATTATGGCAACTTTGTCTTCTTACTGAAGATGCAACGCAATAACAATTGCTGGCAATAGCAACAACAACAACTACTCTTACAGCAGCCCCACTAAAGTTTTTTATGCTTCTGCAGCCAAGCAACTTTTTTATTACGATTTGTTTGGCGATTTGAACTGCATCCACAATGTAAGGACCTCAGTTTTATGGCCAAAAGCTTTGCAACTGCACTAATCCAGGACAACATGGTACGCGCTAATAATATCTGAGGAAGCTGCTACTTAACTAATTGCATGTCTTGTGCCGCAAACAATTAACCTTAAATTCCGTATGTGAACAATTGGAAAATTCTTAATCAAGGTAAAGCAGAAGCAATTATTCTCAAAAAATTACTGAAGAAAATTATACTAGAGAGAATGTTTTGCAATCTTAGCTGAAAATATTGGTTGCATTTAATTCTATATCGGTACATATGAGTAGTTTGTAATACCACATACCACCACAATAAGAAGCCTAATTTTAATTTACGAACATTATGAAAAGGATTTCATTTCAATAGTTCAAAAGATTATTCGAGTGCATATCTAACTTCTGCTCCTTTTTAACACAAGTTTCTCTTTACTTTCCATTTTATGATTGCAATTAAATATTTTATTTTAATATTAAAATTTTGGGAAAATTTTTATACACGACGCCTTCAAATTATTTAATCAAAAAGAACTGATACAATCCATAGATGGAAGAACAACTAAACAAATATATAAAATCATGCATAAGGAACATTAACGATAAACCCGTTGTAACGGAACTTACTCGGCTGTAAAATTCTTTTCTTATGTAAATAATTCAATTAATGTATTTTCCTCATTCATTCGTGTAATTTTTGTGTACATACAAAACGAGACGAAGTGAGTACGGCCTTTTTTTGTTGAATGCTTAAATTTAAAACACGTTCTTGAAGGACCCTTCGTCCTCAACGGTCAACAATTGAACAGCAATTACCTTGCAGGCATTGGAGTGCTGAATTAAACATTAGCATGATTTGTTTATCCGACGCCAAGTAACCGACAATTATGCAGCATGAGGCAAGACTAATAATTAAAATAATATTTCCTGCTGCCGCTCCTTTATAAACAGTTTCCTACATTCACTTTATCCGAGTTCTCTTCGAAATGGCGGACGTGCCGCCTGACATTAATAGCGCCGCGATTTATCGCGTCTATTGGCTGTATTGGCGTCTGATGGGAGTCGAGAGCAATTGCCAGCTCGTTGATGTGCTAATGAACATATTTGTCACATTTTTATTTCCATTCCATCTGCTTATCGGTCTGCTTGGCCAGCGTTCGCTGAGCAATATATTCGAAAATTTACCTATAACCGCGGCCTGCTTCTTCTGCAGCGTCAAAATTTTATGCATACGCCCTAAATTAAAGGAGATAAAGATCGTTGAGCGATTGCTGGGTGAGTTGGACAAGCGCGCAAATAGCTGGGAGGAACGTAAATATTTCGATGAAGTGATTCGGCCTCAGGCGAATTTTGTTTGGAAGAGCTTTCTAGTTGCCTATTTCTCAACCGTAATTATGGCCACAGCCACAGTCTCGATGGCCGGTGGACGTCAGATGCTCTATCCGGCTTGGTTCCCCTACGATGTGCAGGCCACAGCACTTCGCTACTGGCTCAGTTTTGGCTATCAGGCAGTGGGCAATGCTCTAACTGTGCTGCAAAACCTAACCAACGATTCATATCCGCCTATGACATTTTGTGTGGTGGCAGGACATGTGCGAATGCTGGCTCTCCGAATTGCTCGTATTGGACAGGCTGGAGAATCTGCAGCTTCGAATTACAAGCAGCTTATCGATTGCATTAAGGATCATCAGAAACTAATGGAGTTGGTACTATTGAATGTATGGCAGGGACTCTTCTCACTGTCTCCCATTACTTTCTCTTTCAGAATTGTGCAACGATTGCGTGGTACTCTCCATTTGGCGCTGCTTAGCCAGTTTGTGGCCAGCTGCATCAATATCTCCATTGTGCTCATCTTTGTGCTCTTCTTTTCTGAAAGCACTTTTGTCTCCATCTACTACTCACTGTACTTTGCGGCTATGGTATTGGAGTTCTTTCCGTTATGTTATTACGGCAGCTTGTTGACATTTGAGTTTGCTGCTCTACCCTATGCCCTCTTCTCGTGCTCTTGGCCGGACATGGATAGAAGATTTTGTCGCCATGTATCTATACTTATGCAAATGACGCTTTCGGAGGTAACCATCAAGGCAGGAGGATTTTTGTGCATCGATATGAACGCGTTCTTCGCCACTGTGCGTGCAGCCTACTCGCTATTTACCCTGGCCATGACCTTTAGATAGAACATGATTTGTTTCCCCATGCCTATGTATAACAAATTTAAGAACCTTCTTTGTTAATAAAAAACAAAAAACAACCAGTAATGCTAGAGTCGAGAGGGTTCAACTCTTAAATACCCTGTACCGACTCCCATACAAATGAAAAAACTAAAAAAAGTTTTTTTTTAAATTAATTTTAAACGAAATTAACGACGTTAAATAAAAATATTCGCGGGCTTAGGAGAATCTGTATTCCAAGTTTGGTTATTCTACCTCTTAAACTTTCTGAGATCCTTGCGCTCATACAGACAGACGGTCTTGCTATACTAATCAATAATATATATACTTTGTAGCATGCCTCCTTCTGTGAGTTACACGTATACTCGGACAAAACTAATATACCCTTTTACCCCAATCGATCAGCAAAAAAAAATTGTAGAATAGTAGATCTGATACAGACTGTAACCAGACTACATCTCAACGCAGGCCTCTGTAGAGTTTATTGCAGCAAATGCTAGACCCTGTCCGTATTCGGACACATTTTGGACTCGAAGTTCCAGATATTGCATTATGATATTATATTTTAATTGAGTGCAGCCAATGGTTAGACCCCATTCGCTTGCATCCGCTTTGCACCCGCCTCTCCACGGCCATGGGCACACTGGCACCCAGACACGCTTATAAGAATTGAATAGACCTTGGTAAGGTGCTTAATGATTTATGTAACACGAAATCCTAAAATAATTACCTAATCACTTAATTAGAAGTATTCAGTTGTTTCTGTATTGTTTAGTAAACATTACCCCAAGTCCTTACAATTAAATCTGTCCAGCATTACTATTAACGGGCAGCGTGTGTTTTCATGGGCGTGACCCACAATGTCCCATTCATTTGCATGTTCGAGTAATTATATTTTAATTATAGCTTAATGGCCGCCATTAGCGGTTTCAGTTTAAAGTGGATCTAATTGGAAAATGCAATGGCGCCGTTTAAATGACAGCAATACTGGAAGTGTCGAGCTATAATTCCGAGGCATAAAACACGCAGACAACTCGTTTAGGCCCGCACACTAATCATGGCAGCAGTGGCATCAAGAACTTCGACCGGATTGCGTCACATTGATAGCACACGAGCTTTCAGACCTATCTGGATCTCCCTGCGTATGCTGGCACCCTCGTTTTTCGGAGTCCGTAGGGACATTGCTTACATCTACGAGCTTGTAATGCATCTGCTGGTTACATTCCTCTTTCCGCTGCATCTGTTATTGGTATTTTTGGAGCGACCCAATACTGCAGAATTGTTCAAGAACATGACTGTGAGTCTGACTTGTGTCGGCTGTAGTTTGAAATGTGTGATTGAGTTGTGGCACTTGCCTCAAATAGTGGAAATAGAATCTGTGCTCTCCCGATTGGATGGACGCGTGCAAAGCACTGAGGAGAGGATATATTTTGAGCAAGTGTTGCAGCGAAGCGTGCGACGCTTGAACATTACCTTGTATGGCATGTATGTGATCATCTATATAGCATTCAGTTTAGTCCTTTCCCTGCTCATCATTGGCGATCAACGAGCGCTGCTCTACGCCGCTTGGTTTCCCTTTGACTGGCACAACAGTACGAAGCTCTATACATTAGCCTTTTGCTACCAAACTTTGTGTCTGTACTGGGAGGGTCCTCAAGGTGTGGCCAATGATATATATCCGCCCCTTATACTCTGCTACGTGGCAGGCCACACACGATTGCTATCCATACGACTGTCACAAATGGGTTATAAGGAGGAATCTACGTATCGCCAGGAGCTGCTCAGGTGCATTGAGGATCACAAGTTGCTGATGCGGTGGGTATACTTAATATATATTTAACATGCTCACTACCGACCTTTGACTCCTAATAGGCTTTACGAATTGATAAAGCAAGCAACCGGATATGTACAGCTTGTGCAACTTTTAGTTTGTGGCGCTGAACTATGCATTGTTGTCTGCTACGTGATCTTCTATGTGTCGGACACCGTGGGACTTGTCTACTACGTTATTTTCTTTGGAATTATCTGCGTGCAACTCTTTCCGAGCTGTTATTATGCCAGCGTTCTGGCCGACGAATCCGAGCATCTGCCTTATGCCATTTTCTCCAGCAACTGGAGCAGCCTGCCGGTGAAACGCCGACGTGATGTGCTCATCTTTACGCAACTCACGCTGCGCACCATGACCGTGAAGGCCGGTGGTATGTTCGTCCTGAATCTGAACGCCTTCTTTGCCACCGTCAAAATGGCCTACTCCCTGTTTGCTGTTGTGGGGCGCGTCCATAGGCGAGAGTAAAGCATGCCAAAAGTGCTTTTAATTAAAATCAGCTGGTGCTGCTACTGGTGCTGGCTCTTCTTTATTGCGTTATTGATTTCATTCATTCCCGTCCAATTATCCAAGAGCTGCGCAATCAAAGCCAGAACGAGCGAAATTCATTAATTGCCTGCTTTTCGGCGCTGCGGCATTGGCAAATAAACTTTCGTTTCCATTTTACAATCGCACAATAAAGTCAATAAAATGTTTTCGCTTTGCATTTTGATGTTGGGCCAATTTGAGGCTGTTGAAACCATGACGTCAGCATCAGTCTGTTGGTTGAGCCAACACCTTAAGTGCTTGTGTATAAAATAGAGATGAGTCCGTGACAAATAAAATAAAACTCTTGTGTTTACTTTACCCTTTAAGAGTTTGCTTTATAAACATTTCAAGTGCCTCGAAATGTATCATATTTATCTGTGCTCTGTTTAAAGCCCCTTTTGGCTAATTTCGCAGAGGATTATAATTTTCGGGCCACTTAGAATACATTATTTATAGAGTAAAGACGGAACTCAGAATGACATCCAAAGAACTAAATATATTTAGTTCTACTATAAATATAACATTCAGATTGAAACATATATTCTAAATAATATCTTATACACAATGTTTGAGGCATAAATAAAATTCTTCCCCACATACATTTATTTTGAATAATGCTTTTATAAATAAACGTTAATATTTCGCATCGTGACGAACCAAATTTCTATGCCTAAGACGTTTACAAAAAACGTTAACTTCGACTACAAAGGCCTTCCAAGATCCTTTCTTAAATACAAAAGCTTCAAATCAACTTCTGAAAGTGTGTTTCAATGACCACAAAAAAAATCGTCCAATTCATACAATTACGATCAAACAAAAGCTGAAAATAAGCTATAATAATAGAATGTGTGATGACACCAGAAGTCGGTGTTTCCTGTCGTTCAGGATAATAAGCAAGTTGAACATTAAAGTCGCGGCACCACAACTCTGTATACCCTAAACCTGTCCCCTGTAGGAAGTCCTTCAATTTAATTAATCTTTAGGATATCTTAATTATCAAAAAGGTGATATCCCGAAGATTTCTTCTGTGGCAGCTATATAAAACAGTGAGGCTATGAATTGGTTTATGTATGGTCTAGCAAACAACGTACACTGTTTGGTGTACAGATGGTAGGGCACGTGGGTGGTGCACCGAAATAAAAAAAAGTAAAAGGCTTCGCGCACACAGCTGACTAAGAACTGAGGTCATTGCTTCGAATAACAATTATAATTTTAAGAGAGCTTTAATGTACCTGCGGTTTCTGTCCGCTTGAAATGAGCGCTCTAAGAGCGGATGAGGTAAAAAAATAAATAAACGAAAGCACACTTACGGTTTCGACTTCGAATCCAACGGCGAAAGATCTTTCGGCGATAAACTGCAGGCTTTGGTGAAAACAGTTTGTTGTTGTTTTCTTTTCCTTCTTGCATTATTTAAATGCACTCATTAAAACACTCATTTTGTATCACACAGAAAAATAAATGAAAAAAAGAGGAATATTTACACTAACTGTATAAAATGCTCGTTAACTGTAAAAAATGTAAAAAATAGTTTACAATCTTGGCTCTGCACGGCTCTTACAGATTGCGGCACTGCATAACCTCACTTTCTTATTTTTCACAGCAGGCACATTTTTAAAAGTAATTTAACCTATTGGCAAATTAACATTCTTTCTATCAGGCAAACATACTTATATGTACTTAAGTAAAAGAAAACAAAATTCGGCGACATCTTCACTAGCTTCCGATCCATTTTCGGATTTCTATAAAACCAAAAGAAAAAGTTATTTGCCTGAGCGCACGGTCTATCGGCGTATACATTCGCGCAGCAACTGCTGTGCCTCGAGTTCTCGCGTCCGCCAGAGACAACGAAATTACTTTTTCGGACACAAATTTAAGAGCGGCTTAATTCATATTTCCATACATAATGATGAAGGCTTAGCACTCCATACCTATGTAGTTCTCCGTATATAGTATGTAGGTCCGAATTTAGGCGAAAAAGAAAGTCTGAAATTAAAATATTTACCCTGTTCGGCACCAAATTTAAGAGAAATTACTATGCCAACCCATCTGGCATCAACCAATTATTAGACCAATTATATTGACAATTCCGCCAAAAGAAAAAAAAAATATGTAACTACCATAGATGGCGCTTGTAGCAAATAATTGTGGGAAGTTCGAATATTCCCTACTGAATAATGCGGATGTGTTTACAACAATAAAACAATAAGTACTTTATTTAATCTTCGCGGTAGCAGTTGTTCAAGCAAATTATTCAAATTAGTTAAGCTTGATCAGCAAAAGATGGCGCTGTTCAGAGCCAGCACATAATCTACTACTAAAAAGAGACCAAAGATTGTACTACTAAATATAAAGCCGAATCTACTACCAAATATGGAAGCATGCATTTTACTACTAAGAAAAACGATATAAATAAAGGAAAGTAGCATCATTAAACGCTCCTACAATGGATAAGGTAATGGTTAATGGTTAATAGTATCTATTAAATATTGTATGCAAATTAAGACTCAAGTGGGAATATAAAAATCGATTTGCAATCAAACTAAATTGCAAGAAAATGAACATTTATTGGTTTCGGTGAAATGCACTTTAATTACGAGCTCATTAGCGAGCATTTAAATTCCACTTAACGTTGGTTTCGAGTTCATTTTACGTATCAGTAGCAGTAGTATAAAAACCTCGGGGCATTCGCTTAGGACCCCAGAATTAATCATCATGGCAACAGGAAAATCTCCAACTACAACTCTCACCCGTCGAATTGACAGCACGGGTCCCTTTAGACTGGTCTGGATTTGTCTGCGTATCCTCGCGCCTACCTTTTTCGGAGCATCTAAACGGGTTGCACGCACCTACGAAGTCATCTTGCATGTGCTTATCACCATACTTTTCCCGTTGCATCTGATAATGGGATTGTGGCTGCGAATAGAGCCAGAGGAGCTGTTCAAGAACCTAACCTTAAGTCTCACGTGTATAGGCTGCAGTTTGAAGAACGTGTTGCTGTTGTGCAATCTCGGGAATATCGTAGAGGCTGAATCGCTGCTCTCGCAGTTGGATAAACGCATACTGAACGTTGATGAGAGAATGTATTTTGAGCAGATCATGAGGCGCCGCGCTCGACGCTTGACCGGCGGCATTTATTTGTTGTACCTTTTCGTTTATATAGCTCTGGTACCTAGCATTATTACAACTATTCAAGGTAATGAGCGGAAGCTGCTCTACGCCGCCTGGCTTCCATTCGATTGTCAGAGAAATGAAGCATTGTATATTCTTGCCTTCTCCTATCAATGCTTTTGCCTCGTAATAGAAGGTCCTCAGGGGCTCGTCAATGATGTCTATCCGCCCCTTATACTGTGCACGGCGTCAGGCCACATCAGATTGTTGTGCATACGATTTTCGAAGTTGGGTTTTCAGGAGGTAGAGCTGGAAGATTCGGTGCTACGACAGGAAATGATTGACTGCTGCGAGGATTACAAATTGCTCTTAAGGTAATGAAGCCGAAGTCTCTGATAAGTGAATTTCCATTCTTACTCGTTCAGGCTGCACGAGCTGGTACAGCAATGTATTGGATATCTTCAGCTCGTACAAATCGGCATTTGTGGCCTCGAACTCTGCATCGTTGTCTGCTACACGCTCTACTTCGTGCATGATATGGTCGGACTCATCTACAATGTGATTTTTTTTGCCGTTATCTGCACGCAGCTCTTTCCCAGCTGCTACTTTTCCAGCATTCTGGCTGACGAGCTGGACCGTCTACCCTACGCCGTCTTCAGCGGCAACTGGATGAGTCAGTCGGCAAAATATCGTCGAGATGTGCTCATCTTCACTCAGCACACACTACGCGTTAAGAGAATCAAGGCTGGCGGGATTCTCGAGCTTAATCTCAGTACCTTCTTCGCCACAGTCAAGATGGCGTATTCCCTATTTGCCGTTGTAGGCCAAATCAACTTAGCACAAAAGGTGTAATCTTAGTTGATCGAAATGTAATGTTACCAACAGAGAATCGATACAAAATATTAAATATCCAAACTTAGCACAAAAGGTTAGTTGATCAACATTTAATGTAACCAAAATATAATCGATTCAAAATATTTGAACTAGAGATAATGTTCGATAAAGCTGGACCGTGTGGCCCCGCATAGTCAGAGATATTTTTAAGAGCATAAAATAAAATTATAGATATTTCTAGCACGCTTACCAAACACCGCTCACAACTTTAGAATTTCTTTGGTATTTTCTGAAGCCCTGGTACTATATTAATATTACTATTATAACTATGTTCTTCGCTTCACAGCTGATAAGTTCATATCATTGCATTAGTATTTGTGCGCTTGTGGTTATACATAGCGCTCTCGAAGCAAGGCTGAACTGCAGGGTGAGTGTTACGATTAATGCATACGAGATCGTGGGAACGGAATGCGATTATGTTATCACTGCAACTAAGTCTATGCATGGCTGTGGGAATGGTTTAAAGCTATTTGTATTCAATATACATTTATGCCTGCAACCAAATGTTATAGTAAATACATTAATGGTAGAGTTAAAATGGCATATTAGGTTTGGGGAAATATATGAAACAGGTACTCCACAAAGTGTAATGGATATAGATGTTCGGTTTCTTTCCGGAATGAACGCCTGCATTTCGGTAACGACGGAACCCTAAATACATAGATAGCAATAGCAATAGAGCTTGACATAAAGACTCTCTTTCATTGAATGAATTATTTTAATGAATTATTCCTCAACTTTTCAGATCGTTGTAGAACAACAAGGAATTAATTGCCATTCATCTGATTACGCTGTGCAAAATCGTTTTCGGGGTCATTTGTTCTAATTATAATGATCTTTCATATTGATGTCAATGTCTCTGACCACCTATGGCTGTGATTCGGAGCATAGCTGGCCAAATGGCAAATGAAATTCCCCCAACGCGTCGGAGGCATTAATAGACGTTATTGTATAGTTTTTCTTTTCTTATATTTGAAGTTTAAATTATAACGTAATATTATTACATATAACGTAATTTATTTTAATATAAATCATAGTTTTTTAATATGTATGGACAGCACTATTTGTTGATTTATTAAAATACACTCTTCTGCAATGAAACAAATGCAGCAAGCCAATCAGCATCACGTCCCACACCCATCTCTAATGGCATAAACAGTTCGGTAGGCTACACACACACACACACGCACACACACACACACACACACGTCGCACTTCGTTTATAATTCATAGTCTTTGCCTGAGTGGACCCGAGACGCTGCGCCTAAGGTTAACTAAGGTTAGAGTTCGCTTTTTTCATTTGTTATTGATTTATGGCAACGATTTGCGATTTGGGCCGAATGCCAAACGGCAGACGACAGACGGGCGAGTGCGCTGTTATCGCCAAAGAGTAGGTGGCCTCCGGTCGCACATTACAAGGCACAGCCACGTACATGAGTACATACATACAAGTAGCTTTTACCCTTTTTCATTTTCCATTTAATTAAACTGAAAAGCATTTCCACATTTGTATTAAATTTTAAAAGCTCGTGTATCGCATTCCCACAAATGCGCTTCCATGTAATATGCTCACACATTTTTAATTAAAATCTCACGCAGGCGATATCTTCAAGTGGCCAAGAGTCCGTGATCCTCACAAAATGGAAACGATGTGCCGCACGCATATAAAAAAGTGAGAAAAAATGCAAGAGGAAAAGAAAAAAGTCAACAGATGCGTCTCTGTTAGTGTGTGTGTGTGTGCATAAATACCAAGGGCGAAAAGGCTGCGAGGCTGAAACAGGCCGAGAAATTGCATGTATTGTGTATGTATTGGTGTGTGTGTGCTGAGTGCTCCAACAAGGACACGCCGCGAATTTATTGACATGACAATGAACGCGGCTGACAAATTGGCATGAGTGCGCCTGCTAAGTGCACTTGAAAAAATGCTCTTTTTTCTGTAAAACCATCTTTGCACTTCTCGGCTTCTTTTTCGTTAGCATGTACTTGGAATTCGTTTATAATTAAAGTAATTTTAAGTTACGAGTGTGTTTTAAACATGCATAGCTATGTGAATTGAAGAGTTCAGTAGTTGATGTAGTTTCGGAGCTGGTTATGATTAAGGTAATTTTTTGTGTGCCTTTTAGCTTACTGTTACTGAAAAGAAACAGCACTTTACTTGCTAAATTCAAAATTTGAACTAAATTTTAATTATATTAAATCAAGCCTTGTACAATTGATTGTTTCTTATGTGTCTACTTTTATATATATTGGAGTGGTCTGCTTAGGTACTAGCTATTGAAAAATGTTTGCAAATATTGTGTGACATTTCTATCTTCTTATGGAGGGCTTTAAGGCACTAGATATTAGTGCGTGGCTGCCATTAACATGTTTATATATAAGCAGATATTATTAGGCCTCGTATTTTCATTTAAAAAACAAATAATTGTTTAAAGCTTTATTTTCAAAATAAAACAAAAATTTTTCTTTTTACTTAGACTCGACGCTGTTGGTTTTTCCATGGCATGACAAAATTATAGAAAAATTCTATTCTACTATACTATTCTACTATTCTACTATGCTTTGAAAGAAAAGCCCAAAAATGGACAAATTCTTTTCTGCTATTCTTAATGCTTTAATAATCATGTTTATGCCTGCAGAAATATTTAAGAAATTCATTTTTATATTCGAAATTAGGGAGCAGCCCATGCTACTGATATAGAAAGTAACATGCATTACAATTACAAGCAAAATATACAGACTGTTTATTCAATTATTATTACAATATGTAAATACAATACAATAAGTTACTTCATTTATTTACAAACTTATCCTAGCGTTACAAGTACAAGATTAGTTTTAAGCTATTACGCTAGTCATGCCATACTTATTTCCAATTTAATTCAGTTTAATTTAATTTAGTTACAAATTTAATTTTGTGGTTTTTGATGTTAAACACTATAATTATTAATTTTGTTTGTTTTCTTCCTTAGATTTCCAAACCTTTAATTATCATTGTTAATATGAATGTTATTATTTTTATTTAAACCTTTTTTCTTATTTTAAATTATTCATTTTATATTATTTTATGTTTCTGTTTCCATTGGCCACTCCAGTTCTCGACCCACAACTACAACTGCTTTCTCACAGTGTGTGTTTGTGAACGCTATGCTTAGCCGTGAGCATGGCTTGTGCATTAGAAAGTTTTGTTGTGGCCATTCAATTTCCTTTAGCGACTAGCGACTTGCGGCTTGTGCCATTATTGAAACCAATTTCCGCTGCAAATAGAAAATCAAAATCGAAAACAAAACCAAGCTGGCGAAAAACACCAAAAATGCGAAAGCGACAACAACAACGACACAGAGAACACTGATGCCAATGATGCTAGACCAGTCAGTCTATTTTCCGGCAACGATACTCCGATTGCCAAACGATGAACACTCAACTTGCGCTTAGCAGCCTTACGCGCAAATATTGCTCATACGCCCAGGGGGACATGCCTTTTCGCCACGGCGCTTTCGCTGCTATGTTTCGGCCCCCCTTGTGCTCGAGGTGATTTAACTTTTGCTGCCTTTCATTCATTTCCTTTTCAATGGCACAAAGCACTCACACATACACACACACACACACACACAGATAGAAATATTGTTGGCATACTTTTCAAGTGCTTTCCCCGTTGTTGTCGTTGTCGGTGTCGTCTGTGCTGCGCCTGCGTTTTGCCAGCATGTTTATTTTAACTTTTGGCATTTTGTGCCCGAACTCTGGGATTTCCACAAGTAAAACAAAACAACAAACGAACAAACAGCAAATAGAATAGACAGAAATATGAAAAATAAATTGAAACAGTGAACTGAGAAACGAACAGTGCACTGCAAAGCATACAAAAAAAAAAAAAAACACATAATAAAATTGTCTAACCAGCAGCAGTTGCAGCCGCCAATTGCGAAGGATGTGGGCTGGGCGTGGGGGCGGATGTGCAGCAGTGCATTGAATGTGACACCAAAGCGGGGCAGGAGCGGAACAGCCGACGGCAACGGACAGGCCACAGATTGAATTGGCTTCAGTTTTTGAGCGAAATTGTTGCGGAATTGGAAAAGCATTTTGAAAAAAAGTGCCCCAGGGTATTGGTACGAGGCATTTGTTTGTTCATTTGGCACATTTTACAAAACAAACTGCAGATTGTTTAGCTCCGTATTTGTTGTTGTAGTTGTCATAGCTGACTGCATCAAATGCATTTTAATTGCACTCAATTATTTATGAATGCTCTTAATTGGCCAGAAGCCAGAAGCCTGGCCACACATTTATATACCCGCAAAAATGTGCAAATTTATAATTAATTGCATTTTTTGTGCCCAATGGGCATTATTGGAAATTAATTGCAAGCTGACACTTGAAATTTGTAATCATAAAATCAAGCAGCCGACAAATGAAAAGCCAAGTAATTGAGGGGCTTTAAAGCCAGAACTAAGCATGACAACCCTCAAAGCACAACTCAATTACAATTTCCCAACACCGAACACACTCAATTTTCCATAGAACGCAAAATGGCAAAAACAACACATATGCGCCGAGAAAAAACCAACGGAAAAGCGCGTCAAAGACAAACAAGCGAACGGGAAACCGGACTAGAACGGAATAAAACAACTTCCACCGTAAAATGCTGCGCAATTCTGCACACCAACACCAACACACACACATACACACACACACACACGCTCTACATGGCAATACAACATGTATGTACTTGTACACAGCAATGGCGATGTATGGCTTGTTTTGTTAAGCAGAACCCGCGCCTAAAACTATGCTCTAGAAAAAACAGCAGACATGCATGGCCGCCAGTCTGCCAGTCTGCCACTCTGCGATTCTTGTCCTGCTCTTGTATTTCAGTCATGCATACCACTTTTTCTCTACTATTTTGTCGCATTTTTGTTTTTTACATGCCTGCGAAACAGATGTTGTCAATGTTGTCATAACTGTTGTTGTGACTTTCTAAAGAGCTTCGGTGAGGCTTGCATTTTAATTACAATTCTGTTGCCCAATGAAGCGTGTATACGAGATTCCTAAACGGTTTTTCATAGTGATTTTTTATGGCATTGCTTAGTCAGAGGTCAGTTTACGCTAGTCTGTACATGCATAAATAGGTGAGTGCTCTCTGAATCTGTGACGTTAAGTGGATGGGCTTGTAAAATTCTTCTTTTAAATAGTTATTTTTATTATTTTTAAATTTGCTAAATACTGGCATATTCTGTATTCATTAGTTTTTAGCAATTTAATAAAATTTCATTTAATTCATTTTATTTAGAATTCTTTCAGGCAAGAATATTGGCAGAAAAACTGCTTATAATTTATTTCGCATATCCTTTAAGAAAGCCCACAAAGCGAAAGCAAATAAAAAAGCTCCTTTTATATGAGTTTGCTGAAAGGACTAATAAAATAGCAGCTTAATACTTTAAATGATGTCTAAGAGATTTTTGAGGACACCATTAATATGTTAAAAGGTTTCATTATTCGACTTTATGTTACTTAAATATGTTAAATGGTCTTTCCAAGTTGGTTTTCAATTATTCAAATTTTTTTTTTTTTGAAACTTTGACAAAACCAAGACATTCAAAATGTTGTTTAAATTGTTCTGATTAACAAAGGCAATCGGTAAAGGAGTGCCTGAATATGTTAAACGAAAACAATATAGCTTGCACAAATTTTCGAAGTTTTCGCAGGACTGAAAAGCTTGCTTTATTCAATTCAGCATAGCTCAGACGACTTTATCGATTATAACAAAGCTAAATACTCGCACTAAAATGTTTAAATCTCGCGTAAAACTTAAAGATTCTTGGGGAATTAAGAACTCAAGCATTTAGACATTTTTATTTGTTAAATATTTGGGATAAAGTGGTCGAATTATTAAAGTTAGACGCATTCAGAATTTGGCATTCATTTTATTTGAAGACGCTTGCTTTTTTAAGTTGTTCTAAATATTTAATTAAAGCGACGAGAAACTATTTTTTCAAGCTTTCCTAAGTAACAACCTCTTTAAAAACAAGTCATTTGGAAAGAATTTCAATTTGCAACACAGAGACCATTTGGGTTAAAACTAACGTTGCGTATAATTGTGGACAAATGTGCTAAATTCTGCAATGGATATTCTCCCAATATATAGTACTGAATGCTATACATACAAGTATTTGGATACAAACTCGTATATATCAGCATGTATCAGCGAGTATTGCTGTTTGTTCATTGACTCTGCTCTGACCACTTCATTACAGTGGAGAAGCCGCTCAGCGTTCGTCACACTCTTGAATTTGGCGCGTTGCGATTAAATTTCATTCTGCTGCAGTTGGCATCCCAGCCCGCCCCCTCTCCCCCCTCCACACGTGTGTTGGCCCCCATTGTGTGTGCCGACACTGCGACATGTGCGCCATTTGTAATCTGAGCAGTGGAAAAAATTACAAAATTTCAAATTCATGACTTCGATGCGCAGTCAGCGTGTTCGTATTGTTGTTGTTTGCAGTAGCCTGGGGGGGGGGGAGGGGGGTAGGTTCAATTTCCGATTTCCGCTACACTCGTAAGCCGCTTGCTTGGTTGACATTTTCGGACGGCTCGAGAACGCATGAAAAGTGAATGTTGTGGACAGCATCAGCATCGCAGGAAGGTCACTTGTAACTTTAACTAAATAAATTTGAAAGCAGGCATATATCAAATGTTTTACCATTCTTTGTCGGCCCTTTTTCTGCTGGCAAGTTCTGGCTATAAAAGCATCAATGGCCAGCAGCTTTAACAACAGTAGCCAGCCGGAGAGCAACAAGAAACGGTAGCAGTTAAACGAATCACAAATACGCAGGCCAACTAGTCTAAATTCCTAAAGTGACAATGAAACGGGTAAGCCGGGGGCAATAACAAATCCAACAACAAATTTGAGGGCCCATAAATTTACAAGGCAGCAGCCACACTCGGTGTCATGTTAAATTCAAATGCTCGCCTTTTAGCTACGAAGTCGGGCAGGACGAAAGCCGCAATAAATCAGGATAATCAAAAGTACGAAACGATAAAAAACCAACAAACAAATTAGGCCCATTTTGAAGAGGCAGCGGGGAGGGCAATGGAAACAAAACTTTATACTGCATTCAAACAACATGCTGTCAATAAGCGAGGCGTAACTCAATATTGTGGGATGTTGGGAAACAAGTCCGAAATATAATAATTCATAGAATGACAAACAAGCGTGTACTACACTTTGGGGGGTCAATCCAGAAAAAAAACCTGTAAAAACTTGATGGAAAATTTATGAGAAGGGCAGGCATCGCAATTGATTTATGCGCCATAGAAGAGATGGGGTTGACTATTCAATTCAAGTTGTGTGGTCTAGTTTGTTTATTTTTGACTAATAAATTGAACATAGAACAGGCTTTATTTGTATTTGACTAGCTGCGGTCGTTTTAAAAAAGGGACCCCAACGCACTTGTTGAGTTCTTTATTGCCTGCTAACAAATTTGTTTGTGGGAACATTTAACTATTAGACCCACTTAGATTAACAATCCTTTAGAATCCTTTCCGGTAGGAACATTTAACTATCAGACTCACTTAGATTAACAATCCTTTAGATCTACCTGCTGCTCTGCCTGAGCCTACTGACCTCCAATGTTGCGCACGCCGCCAATCTGCGACGCATCGACCTCAGCCAGCTGACACAATCGTCCAGCACACAGACGCAGCAGCAGTTGCGCGATCTCAGCATTAGCAGCGGCAATGGCGATGATTCCGGCGAACGAGATCTAACCACCATATCGCCCAATTCCAGTGAGGACTATGATAGCCGGCCACAGTACAGCTTTGCCTACGATGTGCGGGACACGCTTACCGGCGATGATAAGCAGCAGGAGGAGAAACGCGACGGGGATGTAGTGCAGGGTCAGTATTCGCTCATCGAACCTGATGGCACGCGACGCATTGTGGAGTACACAGCCGATGACATAAGCGGTTTCAATGCCATCGTCTCCAAGCAACGTTTGGACGAACAGCAACGCGGTGAAAGGCTTTCATCAGCCACCTCCACGCGCTACAATAGTCTGGAGGAGCTGCAATCACGACTCACCGCTCAGGCCATAGCCGAGGTTCAGGCCATAGCTGATGCCCAGGCCCAATCGCAGTTGCAGGCTGAGGCGCAGTTGCGGCGCGAGTCCGAGACACAGGCCCGCTCGCAGGCCCAACAGCTGATGGAGCAACTGCAGCAGCAGGTGCAGCAAACAACACAGCTGCGTCAGCAACAGGAGCAACAGCGACTGCAGCAGGAGCAGCAGCTTCGTGAGCTCCAGCGCGTGCAGGAGCAGCAGGAGAGGCAGCAGCGGGTGCGAGAACAGCAGCAACGGGAAAGGGAGCGGGAACAGCGCGAAAGGGAGGAACAACAACGCCAGCGCGAGCGAGACCAACAGCTGCGCGAAAGGGAGCAACAGCTGCGCGAAAGAGGTCGTGACAGTGAACGCCGCAATCAGCGCCTGCGTACGCAGCAAACCTTGGATCGTCTGAGCAACGAACAGACCCTATTGCTGGCTCAGAGTCTGCCTAGTCAGTTGCTTGGCCAGACCGTACAGGCATCCATTGTCTCGCATCCACCCACACTGCTCTCCCGTCTAACGCCAGCCTCGACCAGCTCCACGACGACCTTGCTTACCCGTGAACGTGATCTGGATGCCTGGCGCAGCTCTCTTCGTGATGGTCCCACCGCTCGTCTGTCCATCGAACGCACTGGATCCACGCCGCTGATTGTCACCCAGCCCTCCAGCGCCTCGGTTCAGGCTCAACTCATTAGCTCGCCGCTATTGCTCAATTCAGCCAACTTGAATGGACTGATTACCACGCGTTTGAATGGCAATGCGGCACGAAGCGGCACTGCCCTTAGCTGGTCTGACGGCAGGCGTCTGTTGGGTAACGATATATTGGTGTTAGACCGACTCGATGATGCCGAACGACGCCGAGAGGACATCAGGCGCGATGAGAACCGCAGGGACGAGACGCGTAGGGATGAACTGCGTCGCGCAGAGAGTGAGGAACGCTCCAGCAGCATTGAGCGCAACAGCGGTGCCAGCCGTCTCATTGACAACCGCAGCCAGTGGTAAGCCAGTGCTCAACCCGTAAGCAGCCGGCCACACTCTTCAACTGAACTCACAACAACTGGCAACAAACTCAGCATTACAAGGACTTCGATTTCACACCTACTCGTAGATCTTAAGTAACTTTGCATAGCTCTAAGCATTTACATGTGTTACATAGTCTTGTGGGGATTTTGGGTATTCTGTCTATTCGCCTCGTCATCTTCTTCTTAATCGCTTCGACTAATCTCGCTCGCTCGCTCGCTTTCTCTGCAGCATACAGCAAACACTGCCAAGGACTAACCCAGCGCTTGCCTTTCGTAAACTCTACGTCTAACCTTAGCGCTAAGTTTAATTGTTTTTTGTTAACTTTAGTTAGTCAATTGCAAACTTGTGAAAATGTAAAAAAAATAAAGACTCAACTATAAAATGCAACCTGAAATTCACGACACCAACAACAACAACAACAACGACAACAGGTGGTGCAGCAGTTACGCTCAACTAACCCAGTTGACCCTAATCGCCTTTCATGGACTCGCACACACACGCAGCTTGGCCATAAAGCTGGAGTAAGTTCCTGCAGCACAACAAATAGTAACAAATTTTTTTAATAATAAAGAGCCAGGAATACGCAGCTAGCTTGGACTGGCGAGACGTGGCAAAGTTTTTCCCGCACACTTAAAAATAAAGTTAGTCTGTTAGTGGTCGGATTCGTAACGGGGCACCAGTGGAAAGGAATGAAAATTCTTCTCGCACTGAGCTCAAGTGGCCACAAAAGCTGGCCGCATAACTTGCAGGAACTGCGGCTATAAACGTGGCTCCCAAGTCGACAGTCGCGTAAATTTAATATAAATTTCTTCTGCAACTATGTGTGCGCGAGTTTTCGCTGCAATCTGCCACCCTTGACTTACTCCTAAGCTGAGCTGCAGGCGATGGACAGCTGTACGACTGAACTTAACTTTACTGGACTGCTGAAATCACTTAACACTGGATGGCAAAAGTGCCAGCAGCTGCCTGTAGGGCTTTCACTTGTCAACTAAGCTGTTCGAATACAAATTAGTTGGCCAGGCAGCTGATGTCAGTGCTAAGCCACTAACCGAAAAACAAAAAATCATTCACTCGAATCCGACCAGAAGGAGCTAAGAAATTAGGTCGGCACCATGTCAACTCTTCTCCGAAGCATTCGTTTGGGGAATGCCTGGAAAGCGGTTCCCGTACACTGCAAGAATGCCTCGATGTGGCGGGGTCCGATGCTGCGCGCTTCTCAATGGCAGCAACAACATTTCAAGGATGATGATAAGGAAGCTGGTATCAACATGGAATATCCGGACTTTATAGACAAAAAATGCTTTGGGCAAGCTCCTGCTGTTCCGGAGAAGGGCCGCGCTCCCTTCAAATATCCATACCATGAATTTTCTTTCTATGATCTCAAGATAAACACCATTTTTTTGGCACACACCGACACCAAAACGCAAGAATTGGCCGAGTTGGATGACGCTGAGGCAGAAGCTATGGCCAACAAGAAAATGAAAGCAGCTAACTAGCAAAATGTACACAAAACATCAACATGAGCATCATCATCATCGCCACACAAGCACAGTAGCCTCTGATCCCAACACACAACAATACATTAAATTTGTTAAATAAAGAAATTGTTTGTACGACCCCCATAAACAAAACAAAAGCGTTATTAGCATGTACACCCTGCTGTCCAGGCAGGTGGCCGTGCAACAGCTTAGGCTATTGTCCTATCGGTGGTTTAGCAAGGCCCCAAAAATCTCGAGACCACCACCAAAGCTGCCGACTACACCATCGAATACGCCCCATCCCCCTAAGGATCCACCCGACGAGGGCTACGCACCCTTTAGCATGGACCATGAGAGCTTTGTGGCGCCCCCATTTATGAATCCCGCAGCCTTCCGTCAGTTTAGCAGCACGGATGAGAAACTTGGACCAGGTGCCAGCAAGTCGGAGCCGTATAAGAATCCGGAATACTTTGCCTATCATCGTTTCTCCTTTACCGAAATGCAGAACCAGGCATTGGAGTTGCGCAACGACAGGCGTTCAGCTGGTGGCGTGCAGGCCGTGCCTGAAGAAGAGGAAGAAGAGGAGGAGGATAGTGGCACCGACGTCGAAACATTGCAGAAATTGGTAGAAGAGTGCGAGGCGCAGATAAAGCAACAAGCACAGGACATTGAAGAGGCGAAGAGGAAGGCAGCCGAAGAGGAGGAGCGCAGAAAAGCCCAAGAAGAGGAGTGTCGGAAGGCACAGCGAGCTGCAAAGAAAGCGGCCAAAGAGAAGGCTAAACGAGAAAAATTGGAACAGGAGGAAGCCGAAAGGAAGGCCATGGAGGAATGTTTGAGAAAAGCAAAGGAGGAAGAAAAGAGAAAAGCTGAAGAGAAGGCACTAAAGAAGGCCATGGAAGAATGCTTGAAGAAAGAACAGGAAGCAAAGCTGAAGGCAGAGGAGGAGGCCGAGAAGAAGTTCATCGAAGAATGTTTACAAAATTTAAGGTTGGAAGCAAAGAAGAAAGCAGAGAGAAGAGCAAAGAGGCGGGCTGAAAGAAAGAGAAAAGAGGACGAAAGGAAAATGAAGGAGCAAAATTGTGAAGCGGTAGAGCATAAGGAAGAGAAGTGTGACGCTCAAAATAAGAAGGAAGACAAATGTGATGAGCAAGAAAAGCCGCCAAATTCGAATGACGACTAGCAGCGAACACTTAGCAACGACAACAATCAGCCACACAGTGACTCCAAAACTGCGCAGCTGAATTGGGTGCGCGTCTCCACTTAGTACAAATACAGTTTGGTTTTGCCAGTGCTTCTCAAACCATTTGCGTCTCCGCTCGCACGGCGACGGCTTTGTTATTGTTTATACGTCTGTTCAACTTTTGATTTGAATTGTTAATAAAAACCAATGCATAAAATCAATCTTACAACAACGCTGCTGAAGATATAACGGAAACTGGCACAGGGTACTTGTACAATTTCAGGGACAACTGAGCATGTGACGTCGTCGATTTAATTCCAATTTCAATTTCAATTCGCGCGTACAGTTAAAGAGCTCTGAAGCAAAAATAAATTGGGCAGAAATTGCTGAAAATATATTGAATCCATTTATTATGGGGGAGACCCCTTCGCACACGTGGCCAAGAGTTGTTGCATAACAAACGCCCTGATGACCATCTCAGGGTGGTATTTTGAGGGAGAAGAACGTTCAGAGGAGCTAGAATTAATTTAGATAAATGTAGCTGCTAGCGTAGAATAAATGCAAATTATAATTAGTCAAGTCTTAGTCTAAAGTAGATAGCAGGCGGATGAGTTGTGGTTGGCCAGTGGAGGCTCTTTTCATTTATGTAATAAGTTTATAACGTTGCCAAAAATTGGATTGCTCGCCTTCTTACTTTTGAGATGTCACAATAATAAACTAAATAGCTGCACGTACCTAGGGGCCGATATATACATATACACGTATACAGGAGGTTCATTCTTATCACAAAATCTCCATCTACTAGTACCTGCGAGTAGACCCACGAGTCTGAGAATATTTGAATATAACAATTCTTCCATCGTTTATTTTTTATTAATACGATGTCCCTTATTATTTTTTTAATTATCTTACATTTTAATAAAAACAAACAAAATATAAAATTAAATAGTGTTTCCTGGCCGCTATTTGTTCAGTCGTTCGTCAAGACAGAAGGACAGATGGATGGACATGTATAGATCAATTTAAAGTATAATTTATGAGTATACTTTATGGGGTCGGAGGTGGTGCCTTCTACCTGTTACATTCTTAGAACAAACATAATAAGCCCTATTTACACGTCGGAAACAGGGTATACAATTTTTGCTGAGCGCTTTAAAATTACAGTACGCACTACTTATAACTTATTCGATTTACTTTTTTATATAACTTTTGCGTATTCCGAATGGTTGTTAAACAAATTCGAGTTATCGATTTCACATCTGACATCAAGTTGCCCTCACTATTACAATATAAACAAAAAAAAACAAAATGAATTTATCTCATAGAATGGTTTTCTCTGAAATACCAAATAATCTTCATATATTTTGCATTCCATTTATTTCAATTATATATCAAATATTAACAAAACAAAGAGTATTAAGAGAAATAATCTATAATAAAAATATTTCCTTTTAATATTTATGGCAAGAGACATGGCAAATGAAAGAAAAATATATAAGCACACAGAAATATAAATTTAACGTAACGCTTTAGTACACTTGTCGGCCTAATATTTTTTTATTAAGAAGGAACAAATGCTGCTTCAGAAAATACCTCTTGAAATCGACATTTTTAAACTATTTTTAAATCGAAATGAAAACAAGTTATTGTAGTCGTACATTTAAATCATTTATTGCTTTTCTTTACTGTAGATATACAGATCATATTATAAGCTATAACTAATTTATGTTTTGACCTTCTAACCACGCCCTATTTAAGTTGAAAGTTTAAAGTTTGTGAAAAGACGATAGGGACTCCACGAATCGGTTCCAGCAAATCAGGAGGATTTGTGGCAGCGAATCCAGCAAGGGTGGCAAAGGAAATTAAAGAAAATTTAGTCGAAAGTAATAATTAAAATTAAGTGTCATTGAACAAAGTACTAAAAAAAATGTTTCATGGATTCTGTTTCAAAGTTTCAAAATGAGCAAAATGTAGTAGATAATAGTTGTTTTTGTTTTTAGTTTTTCTACGCTAAGAATAATATGATTATGTTTTGTTTTGTACATGAATCTGTTAAGATATATTAAGAGTATAAACAGAAAAAATTTGGATTCATTTTCTTGGCTAATAACTTTTTTAGGCGGACCAACACTCGATGGTTGCAAACATTTTTGCACGCCACTGTATATAAAGCTATTGTTTAGGAAATTGTTTGTTTTTTCTTTGTTCTATATACTAATTTAGCCCTAAGTTTGTTTAAATTTCAAATCAATTATTGTCATACATTTTATTTTAGTACGAAATGAGAATATTGCTGCAATTTTGGAACCATCGAATAGAACTTTCCCTGTATCTGCCAGACTCCAATAGCAATTACGCATTACACTACTTAAGTCTATGGGCTGCAGCTGCCAGCTGCATACTTGTAGATGTGTAGTGTGAGAGATGTATGTATGTATGTATGGGTGTATTTGTGTATTTGTGTGTGTGAGTGTGTGCTGTACCTGTCCCAGCAGTCTGGCTGGCCGGCACAATTTGGTCATGGCTTGCGTCTCGTTTAGCTGGCATTTAAGCTGAAAATTGCTGCTAAAATATTTGCACACTCAGAGCGTGGAGCGTAGAGCGTAGAGTGTAGAGGAAGCGAAGCTCCACTGCAGCTGCAATGATGCGTTCAAACATTTTACGCGGCATATTTACCCTCCATTGCAGTCATAACTGTTTTCTGGACAATGCAAATGCCTCTAATTTTGGGCCTAACGACAACTGGCCCCTTGTGATGCCGCAACTGTAAGAGTTACAACAGCAATAGCAACAACAACAGCAACTGCCTCATCATCATTTGCCATGGCCAGGGCGCTGAAGCTGAGGCTGAGGCTGCTCTTCTTGCTGCTGCCCTCTGGGCTGTTGGCAGTTGTCAGCCAACATGCTGGTGGCAAGTTTCTTGCCCTCTTCTGAGTTTCCCAGCAGCCGTTGTTGCCTCTGCTGCCGCACTTGAGCATTTTTCTTGTTGTGCGCTTCGCTGCGCTTGTTTTTGTTTTGCTGCGCGCGCCTGCCACATAATCGTCTAGCAGATCAAAAACAAAATGCCCGGCTGGGTCGCACTCTATAAGATGAGATGTACGAGTACAACTGCTGCTGTTGCTGCTGCTGCCTAGCAACTGATCTTTTTGGCTTGTAATTTGCATAATTTACATTGAGCACCACCCCCCAGTTGCCACAACTTGGCAACAGCTAAGCCGTATCAATCAGTGTGTGTGTGTGTGTGTGTGTGTGTGTGTGTGTGAACAGCGCAAGAGATCAAAACGTGAATGCCCAATGAGTTCACATGCCATCTGATATAGTGAAACCCATCTATAAAGAATTAACTCATCTGTTTATTTTTGCTCATTTTTTTAGCAAAACTATGATCGATTGCCATCGCTCAGCTTGAGTTCTTAGTGTTAGCGATACTGAAAGATATCCAAAAACATATTACAGATATTTGTGGGCCCTTCTAGCGTACTTGGTTATCATCCGAATACTTTGCATCGATCTACTTTGCATTTCCTGCCCTTGCTTTAATAATTAGGTGACAGCTATCTTTTTATTGGTTAGGCCTACAAAAGCACCGTGTCTTGCACATTGTAATGGTAGCTCTGCCGTTCATTTATTTCTAATAATTTGTATAAACAAATTATGTAGTTTTGCACAAATAAATATGTAAACTATCTTTTAATTTATACTACGAATATTCAATCGGAAGTGGTTGTCTTTCTTCATCATATATAGTACACCTAATTCTGTTTTTGGACGGTAAATTGGCTCTTTATCTCTAAGTAAATATATATGCAATTTTTGAATTTTCAAACCGTGTTATATCAAAATCGTGTAAGAACAGAATAAGGTGTAATATAGTTATATATATTATTGTTTATATTTACAAGCAAGCTATGAAATAAGTCCCAACGATTTTTTGTATAGATTTGCTCTAGATTTTCATCGAAAAGCAATGAAGTAATGAATTTAATTGAACAAAAAGGCGCCTTAGTCCTTTCAGACAAAACGATTTCGGTCTGGCAATAAATATTACGACAATTGGAAGTAAATCGAAAATTATGTTAATTTATTTCGCCGCTTCCTACCAAAAAATACAAGCTTCTTTCTTATGTTTATAAAACAATCAAGTCTAGAAAATTATTTCTTCACAATATTATAGTTCTCTTACTCATATTTCTTAATTAATTTCACTGATAATCTTTAGTTTTACAAAAATATATTAAATGGAAAACATAATTCAGAACACTTTTCAAAAAGGGTTACAAAACTAATTATGGACTAAGCTGAACACATGTAGGACGAGGTTAGTTCTACTCTCTAAACATGGATACGATTAATATAATTTTCAAACGAAATGGATCTTTAAAACTATTTATGAATCTATTCCGGCTTAATCGTTATATGACACAGATGTGGAAATAGATTTATGTAAAGTATAAATAATTAAATGAGACTAAACTTCTAGTTTAAGCTGTATTTGCATTTTTCTATAAGTTTAATTTAAGTTGTTGTAAATAATAACAGTATAATTAAAGTTTTACGTTTATAAAAAAAAATCTGGCTGAATCGTTACATACTTGTATATAACAAAGATGTGGAAAGAGAGGAATCTCTTCTTAGTGATATTAATAATCGATTCTTGCTTATTCGTCATATGACAATGATGAAAAAATAGACGAAGCTATTATCCTGCTATCGTGAAAGTCATAGCCTATCCAAGTTATAAAGAGCTCTTCAGCTCAGCTCTGCTTGTGCTAAAAAATTTAGATATAGTATATAGAATATATACTATAGAAGAATAGAAGATATATTATATCTTGTGCTTCATTTTTTTAATAACAATAACTCAGTTAACTATAGTTATTTTAATATTTGTGGGCTATTAAAGCGGGCATTTGATAGTTTTAAATTCAAGGCTACGAATAGCTCTGTCTTTTCATTCTTGTTTCATTTCATACCCATTTTCTTATGGAATTTGAAAATGTGTTTTTAAATGCATGGGATTTTGTGCACATGGCCCCCATAGAGATGTCGGACTGTTTAGCTATGGCGCCTGAATGTCCACGCTGTTGCCGCATTCCAGAGCGATTGCATTTCAAACGCACTGCACAGCTGCGTCACTTGTTGTCCGAGTTCTGCCACCCACGCCAGAGCCAGACGGCTACGTCAACTGCTGGACAGGCTGGGGAAGCTGGACAGTGCTGGGTCGCT